AAAAGAAACCTTCATGATAACAAAAGAAAATTTTTGAAATTTGCAAGTGTTTTTTTGATTGCTTGAATTTGACATAATAAGTTTTACGCAACAAAAGCTAACAAAATGAAAAAAATATATATTACTTTTCTATTTGCTTAAACAAAAAAATTGTTCAATATGCAGGCCGTTGCCTGTTCTTTTTTCTAGTGAAGACAACCCTCACTATATATTTTTTGCTGCAACTACTCTAATTCTTCTGAAGGCAAGGAAAACATGATATGTTGCATGAGAAAGATCTAAGTTTTTGAAATTCATTAACTAGCTTAAAGATTTAAGATTGACTCGTTTGCTTGTTTTTAATTCTTTTTTTTTTCTTTAAAATCTTGCTTTGATTTTTTTAGAATAAAGCACTAACAAATTTGATTTCCAAAACCAAAAAAATCTGTTGTGAGATTCGAGCTTGCCTTCTCAGAGGTATCTGATGAAAGGATAAGGTTTGCTTTCAAGTTGATGAAAGTTTAAAAAACCTCAAAAGATCAATATTTTTTAAACCAATATTCACCTCAAAAGGTGATTGTTTCAAATAAACTATTGAACCTCAGTTCAATCCCTAGCACGTTGTAAGGAAAAACCTATAGGGCAACAGAATACTTTAAGTTTGATTAATATTTCAATAATTTTTTTAAATTTTTTCTTCTGTGGAAACATTGTTTTAAGTTTTTTAATTGAATTACTATTGAAAAAAAAAAACAAATTTTAAAATATCTTGTGGCAATCGTACACGGTTTGTTTAAAACAGAGTTTTGTTTGTAATTCGATTCAAGACGTACTAAATAAAGCTTTGCTCCGGAATGAGAAAAATTTTCATAAAATTGAAAATAAAACATTTTTCACCAATCTTCACGCATTTTTTTTCTCCAAAAGTATCTTCTCAGCTTACCCCCTCAAAATTTGAAAATGCAAATGAACCTCGAAATAAACGAAAATTTCGTCAATTTTGGTTGTGCTGTTGCCTTCTCTATTAAAAATGTCTTTGTAAGGAAATATCGATTCCATAAATGGCGCCATTTATGGTGCGACGTATGGTTTGCATGGTAGAAAAATAATTAAACTTTATTAAAAGGATACTTTGCACTAGAGATACTTTTTCTCAGTCGTTTTTGTCAATTAACCTCTATTTTACGGTTTTCTAGAGAAAAAAAAATTGGTGAAAAATCTCTTCCATACGTAGCACCATATATGTTGCGACGTATGATTTGCATGGTGAAAATTTTTGATATTTTACCAACAGCTTGCATAACGATGAGAAACCGTTTTATTACTATTTTACTCCGTTAAAAAGCTATTTTGAGGGTTTTCGAAACCAATGTATGGGCGAAGTATGATTAATCATTTTCCATGCAAATCATGCATGGATGTGCATGGTTGCGCATTATCTTCTATGGTGGGCAGCCCGGGTATGATGATAAATTTATTTTCACTATTTTTAATTTTTCATAATGAGTCTATATATGACGTTATTGTGAAGAAAAAATTTTCTATAATTACGTGATGAGCAAAAATCAATGAGTACGATGTACCTAATCAAATTAAAAGAAAAACAAAAAAATTATTTACTCTACGTCTGAACACTCAGTCGAAAAATACATCACCTTCTTTGAATGAATGAAAAGGAAGTTCTAGAGGTTTTAGAAAGAAGAATAAATAAAAACACTATTCACCTTTAAGAGAAACGTTTTTTTTTAGTCGGGGACCGCTGATCGTCTTTGAGTATTTTAAAGAAAAACAGACATAGAGTGGTCAGTTTTCTTAAAGTAGCGGACAAAATCTAGACCTCTGGATGAAATCTCGACAATTCAGGATATAACCTAGCGAAAGCTTGGGAAATAATCATGACCATTTTGTCATAGGTTTGAAATCAAGACAAAATGATGGTACGTACAAGCTTGATCTTAAGAAGAAGAATTGAGACATTGTTTGTTTGGGTTTCGAAAATGCAATGGGTGAGATCAAAAAAGTTTAGAAAAATCAAAAAAAAATAGACAAGTGTTCAAATTTCATCGATTTTAAAATTTTTTCACATCCCCAAGAAACTATAATCAAAACAGGAAAACATAGTCAAATACGCAAAATTTTTGTTTCATCTTTCAACATTTCGACATATTCTAAGGGTGATTTTTTTTATTTCACACTCTTTCCATTTGAAACACTGAGACAAAAAAGTTTCCAGTGTTTTTTCCGTTTGCTATGCAAAATCTCAAGCACCAACAAAGGGAGATTATGATTTTGGAAACTCTGCAATGCCAATGTTTTTGCCCAATTGTGCAACTCTGATTTGAAATTTGTTTTCACGTTATACCTATTTAGTTGTTTTGATCTTACACACCTAGCTTCTGTTATTTTTTTGTTTTTAGACAGAAATTTTGGGATGGTTATCTTGCAAGAATCTTGATCGACTAGGGTAACAATTTCACTTTTTACTCCTGGCGAAATGAGCCTTTTTCCTTCAATCAAACTGTTCATAACTTCTATCATACGCTTAAGAAATATTAATTGATCTAAAAACTTATCAACATATTATTGATTATTCTGAGTTCAGTCCTAGGCTCTGATGCGAAAACAATTTTTGTTTTCTTTTTTAGATCAATTTTGACCGAAGCTTTCAGACATAATTTACCAGTTACGTCAACCATTTATTCATATTCATATAACTAATTTGGTTGACATGTAATTAATTTTATTGTAGTAACTTTTTTTAAGCCTTGATAACCCTAGTCGATCAAGGGAGGTTATCTTGCAAGATCTTGCAAGAACCTTGAAAGACTCTCTTAAAGAGGATAAATCTCATTAAAAGATCTTGCAAAACAACCTTTTTTAAGCAAGATCCTAAAAAATATATTTTATGGGCAAAAACAGCTTTACACGCGAAGACAACCAAGTAGCGTTCGTGGAAGAAGGAAGCAATCTTAGCTACGCATACATACACACAGCTCGCTAGGCGGTTGACCCCAGAAAGCTTAATCTCTCAAAACAGTAAAACACGAGTTACATCAATTGAGAACATAAATTTAAAGAAATAAATAAAAGCAAAGATTAGAACAAGATGAAAATTAAGTTTTTTTAATTAAGTTTTTTTCACACAATACGTCAATCGAGATGAACTGATGGATTCTCCATAAAATCTTCAGTAGACACATTTGAGAAGAAGTCTTTTGTGATGACAGATTCTCCTTCCTAGAATATAGCCAATCGAAGGTTGCAAAAGAGCAATGAACGCAATTAAACATACAAAAAAAACTGACGTAGTTTAAAAAATCTCAACTTTCAAAACTCAAAGAAAAAATAGACGCCCTTTAAGCTCTTTGAACTTCTAGAACGATCTATATTAGAGCTTTTTTGATAACATTAACCCAACTTGGGAAAACTGGATCAATAGGTAAAGTTTTTTTTTCTGCTGGAAATCTGAAAGTTAAATTCCACTTTCGAAACTATGAATTGTTCACAAAATTTCGCGCCCTTTGCAAACTCATCTTTGAAGAGTGCTATCTACGTCACTTTCAGCAAATGAACTTCAAGTGATCTCAAAAAGTGCATATATAACTGAGTGCATAAATATTTTATGACTTTTACCTGAAAAAAAACTAGCAAGACCTATATAAAGGATTTCGCTACGTTGATTACTCTTAAAAAACAAATGAGGGAGTCTTTAAGTCATGCCACCAAAAATAAATACAGAAACGCTGTCAAGACAGAAAAAAAACAACAACAGCACGAAAAAAATAATAAGAACCAATCAACCCCCATGGATTGCATTTTTGTTCCCTTACGAGGCCAAACTGTGCACCAGTTAGGCGCACATTTTTTTTGTCTGCATGTTCCTGATTTCCAGAGACAAGTCTTCAAAACCTGGTAAATTTTTGTCGGAAAGATCAAAGAGAATGAAAGAACAATAGATGAACAAATGGAGCATCTTTGTTGCGGAATCCGCTTAGAATTCGCAAAATACACAGTTTATTCTCGTAATGTTTTAGGAAAAAAACATGTTTTTTTTTAATTAAAGTATGATTAAATTGACAAATATTTAGACTCAATAAAAAACTAAAGAAAACAATTGATCAATTTTTTTTCGATTGGAAAAATAAAATAAATATTGAAATTACTTGAAGTTTTTTTTCTGACTTTGGGAAAGTTTGAAACGTTCAAAAATAGCATATGATTCAACGAGAGCACACTCTGCACGATTTTTAACAATTCAAAATTAACAGCTATGAATAAAAAAAAATAAACTTTTCTTCAGAGCAACTCAAAAAGTTTTGGGTTCTCATTCTAGAATCAATTTTTTTAATCTTGCACCAAGTTTCTGTTATTTTTTGTTTTTAGACAGAAACTTTGGGTGGTTATCTGGCAAGAATCTTGCAAGATTCTTGCGAGATAGCCTTCCTCTTCCAAGATTCTTGCAAGATAACCTCCATCTTGCAAGATCTTGCAAGATAACCTGCATCTTGCAAGATCTTGCAAGATAACCGTCTTTTGCAAGAATCTTGCAATATCATGCAAGATAACCTCCCTTGATCGACTAAGGAAAATACTGGATAGCATGCAATGTTTATTTCTAACTTTGAGAAAAATGTCTGCAATCCTAAGTGTCGGTTCTTTCATTCAGATTATTTTGACTGACTTGAAGCAGTTTTTTTGTTACATCTGGACATTTAAAATACTTTGAGTGCAAACACAAAAAGAATTTCACATGCAAGGGTGTTTGAAAAATCTGACACGAAGTTTTTCTTGTTTAGGAGAGTCGAATACCGCCGTTGTTTTGTTTAGCAAATGCGTTGAACCAATCCGGCTCCGAAATAATTCCATATTAAAATGAGGCAAGCTAAGTGTTCCCGAAAATCTACAAGTAGATGTGAATTAGATCCTTTTGTACTCTAACTTGTGCTTGTGTGATTGGAGTGGTTCAAGAAACCTTTAATTATTTCAATTGAAATAAATAAAAAAATTTTGAACCACTCCACTCACACAAGCACAAGTTAGAGTACAAACATCTATTCAAAATTGAACAAACATCTACAAACATCTATTCAAAATTGAAAACACATAACTAATTCAAGTTCTCTTCCGTTGTCATGAGTTAATTTGTTCAAGTTGCGTTGCTTCTTCAGAACCAAATTTCTTCACGATTTGAATTGGTTTTCACAGCATTGACTTTTTTGCGATATATGCGTTGCAGTTTGGACAAGAGTGGACAGCGTCTTTGCACCCGTCAATGCAGAGGGGAATGAGACAGCATCCGCACCAGAACCCAAGAAGCAAAATTACTCCCGCGATCAGCCAGGTACCCATACCTGAAAAAGAAACATTGTTTTTAATTCTAAGAATGAGTTTCATTTCTCAATCTATTTTTGACAGAAATGCTCCTCCAAGCGTTTCGGGAGTGCTTTGAAATCTTTTTTGCCGACCTAAAATAAATAAAGTCGAAAAATGTTCCCATGAGAAAATCGAAAACAGCGGTTGTGCATATTTTCAGATTATCAGAACAAGTTTGATAAGTTTTTTTGATAATGCAAGATGACAAACTCATGAAAAAATATGTTAGCTCAACGCTAGAAGCAAAACGATTTCTCGAATCATCATACACCAAGAATTTGTAGAGTACCCCATTGGAAAAAATAAGCTAATAAAAATATGCCCTTAAATCCGCAGTTATTGCGTGTTTCACAGGTAATGTCTACAAAACTCAGATCGCTCTTTAATTTCTCAGATCGAAACTTTTAACTGAAACAGTTCTACAAAAGAAAACAAAAATTAGCATTTGAAAATGGTATAATGTTTGATAGCGTATTATGTGTTTGATTCGGATGTTTTTTGGTGTTTTTGAGTCAATGTAAACTTTTACAGAAAAGTGGGATAATTGAATACTTTTTTCTCGACCATTAAGGAAACACGCCTGTGTGAAATCAAAATCGATCAAGATAATTTTTTTGAGCGAGCCATTTGGCAATATGTAGATAGAGATATATTGCCACATGACTTGTTCAAAGTAATGGGGTTCACAATATTTACAAGAATTTTTATAGAAATTGATTCTCAACTCAGTGAAGATATTTGAATAACCCGGGTTGACCAAAAACGCTTATCATACTATTTCATACTAGGAAAAAAATCCTTCTAATAATATTTCACACTATTTCAAACATCAAAAAATGACTAATTAAATAGCAAGAAAAGTAATTTTTCCATACTATGAAATAATAAAAGAAGCATTTATTTCCACATTCTGGAATTTTTTAACATGCGTTTTGCTTTACTTTTATCGCAAAAATTTTATCAAATTAGCAAAACCAATTTTTTTTTAAAAAAAGGTATGATAAGCTTTTTTCGTATATGAAATTATATGAAACAAACATATTTTCAATGAATGAAAAATTTAAAAAATTTTGCTTTGAATTTTTTGTTTCATCCAAAACACTAACCAAGGACTTTTTGTTACAAGGAAAACCAAAGTGTGACTGGAAGTTACCACGGAGATAAACTGCATTTAGTGATTTTAGCCATGTAACTTAATTTCAACATTCTCACATATATTTAGCCAATTAAGTACCAAAAATGTACTTTTTTCTATGTGGCTAGATAATTTTTAATTTGAAAAATTTGGTGATTGAAACAAGCCTGTTTTTTACAAATTTATATCTATCTTAGCATATGAAATCAAAAAATCATTATAGTGTTTTTAAAAAAAACTTTTTTGGTGATTTTTGGTTTTTTTTGGAGAAAAACTTAGCATGGACTACATTATAAACACATAGAAAAATTTTGCGTGCAATTGGTATGTAACAATTATATTTGAGCACAAAAGCAAGTTTGCAACCAAAAAAAAAAGAGATTGAAAATTGTATGCCTCAAATATTTTTCTTTAATGAAAAAAGTATATCACACAAATTTCATATATGAAAACTATACGATAAACAATTTTCCCTACCGATACTGAAATTATGTTTTTGACAGTAATTTGATCTCAAATACTGAAAATCCCTATTAAACTTCTTAAAAAATGCTCAAACAGAGTTTCAACTGATTTTTGATTTTTTCTTTTTTTTCTCCAGAAAATGCTTTTTGTACAATTTCATATATGAAAGTTATATGATAAGCCTGTTTTCGAACGAAATGAAATCATGTATTTTGATAGTTAAATTGCTCTTTGTCATTGAAAGCTTTCCTTAACGTTAACTGTAAAAACCAAAACATGTTTTAAAGAGATTTTTGAAAAAAAACTTCTTTAACAAAATGCTTAACAAACAATTTTCATCCATGAAAATTGTATGAAAAACATTTTTTCATCCAAAACTTTTAATCATTTTTACATGACCAGAAAGCTTCAAAAGAGACAAATAGAAAAAAAAAGTGTATTAAAAATCCTGAAAGCAATTTTTAAATTTTCTATGAAAACTATGTACCGCATTTTTCCCAAAGACGCCGTGTATAAAATTGTGTGATAAGGGTTTTCCTTCTATGGACGTCAACCAGGGAAAAATCGACAATTTTCAAATGTTTTATTAGCATTAATTTGAAACTGTTGATTTTCAAAGTTTGCCACTTACCAATTTTTTTCAAAGGCAAAAAACAAACAGATAAATTTTGTTTTGTGACTTCTAATTTTTTTTGCACGCAGCACCGAAAACTAAAAGCTTTTACCAGATCATTTTAATTCGAATCGATAAATGTCAATTTACTATTTGCAGATGATTCAGTAGGTCATTTAGATTTTTTATATCGAAAAAGCTTATTTTCTCTACAATTTTTTGATCAATAATAATGTCATATGTGCCTGAATATGACATTTATTATTGGTACAACAATAAATAATAAACTAGATTGGTTATACAAACTAGACCACAACAAATGAAAAACTGAGAATGTAGAAGGGAGCACCCACCCCTCCCCCCCCCACTACCAGTATTTTTAACCTATCTCATAGTTGACGCTTGTAGTGACTGTGGCTCTGCAGTGGGGACACTGGATTGTTGCCGGATTACTGCCCAGACTCGGATAACCGCCACCCACCAACACAGTCGTAGTCCTGCAAAAGAGACCCAAATCTTTTTAAAGTTGTATTTAATTTTTAAAAAAACGCTGGCAAACAAGTCGATCAAAATTATTATGAAAGCCTGCTCGAAGATTTCAGCGGTAGTCAGGAGAGAGGCTTTGGGCGTTACTTCAGGTTCAAATAGAGCTCCTGCCTTGAGGTTTTTAGTTTCACCCCGACAGCCGTACTTTTGTTTAGATCAATTCGATGGTTTTGATCAGTATTTGCAAAATTCAGGGCTTTGGTGCGTCTTGCTTGAAGTAAAAACAAAAAACTAAGACATGCATTACAAAACCGACAATAAGTTTTTTTTTTTAAAAATGTTAAACAGCCCCACAAAAATTTTTTTAATTAGGCTTTTTCTGTTTTTGTTTGGCACTTACTGGTAATTTCCAGTGTACTGAAATGTTGCGGGCTGTCCGTAAGGTGGAGGGGGCTGACTATAGCCTGAATTGTAGCTTCCAGGTGGGGCACTTGCTTGAGTAGGATAACTCGACATCACTTTTTTGAGTAAAGTTGGAATTTTTCAGTTTATATCTTATTAAAGCTGTATAAAACGTGAGAAGGTCAAGGCTGTTTTCTCGGAATGATAAACTTTTTGCATAAAAACAATTGTATCTTTTTGGATATAATCACACTGAATATTTGTTATATATCGTTTTTGTATCAACCAGAACAAAAAAATTCGAGGTTTTCGCAACCAGCACTGGCTTGTCTCGTAGTTGAATACAAAAAATTCACCAGAAAATTTTTTCTTTTATGACACTTCTATCTAAGTTTTAGGTATCATTTAAATTTCTCTGCCTGACAGATATTTTTTCTTATTCTGTTTTTACACCATATGATTAGTTGGAGATGGTAAAAATGCCGATTTTATTATTTGAAACGTATTTGGATGGAAAACAGCAAAGAAAGCTTATGTGTAACTCTTTGTTGGTAATATCTTCTGGCCAACTACGTTTGACGCAGAGTTATTTTAGAAAAAGATTTTATAACGTCACAAAAAGAAAAGAAACACGCTACTCTGTTACGTTAAAGATTTGGCAAAAAAATTCTTCACTTTTCAAAGGCTGCTTCGATAATGTTGTGAGTTTGACGTGCTATTAAACAATGATGATAAATTTATTTTAACTATTCAAGTTGCTCATTTAGAATGTAAAATTGAAGTTTTTGTATATCATATGACTTTTCTATTACTACATGATCAAAATAATGACAGATTTATACAAAAATCAAATCAGCAAAGCAAAAAGTGACCATGGATTTGGAGCAGACTCAAAGCCAGGATAAAAACACTTTCTTCAAAAAAGAAAAGAAACTCTTTGTTTGTTGAAAATCGTGGTTTTAAAATTAATATTAAGTTTTGATGAGCATGCAATGTAAAGGAGAAATGAAATAAGTCAAATGAATTTAAATTTAACCCAATTTCTTTATCAATAGACTGCCACAAATAAATATGCGGGTAAGACTTCTAAAACAAAAAAAAAAACTCAACTTCATGGTATTGTACGTTAGAGCGTTTTCATTACACTATATTATTGTCATACGTTCCAAATAGGAAAAGATCTTATGAAATTTTATTTTCTAATTTTGCAAAATTATTCCAAAGCGTGAAATAAATTTGTCGAACTCCGAGTTGCTTTACAAATGATTTTTTCATCGGTGCTTTCTTTTTTCAAAAAGAAAATTTTTTAGAGTTTGTTATATTTGTCTTTTTTATTGAAAAAAGTGGACTCTGTTTTTTTTTGCTGCATTCAGTTTTAACGAAATTTTTTTTGAATGTTTAGAAAATTCCGCAACAATTTTCCATCTGATTCAAAACGGTATTCGGTTTTATGTTTTTCTATGTTGAGTCTCGTATATCATCAGCGTTAAAAGTAATGAATTTTAAATTTTGGCAATAATTTTCAAAGATGATTATTTCTAAAATTTGAATTTTTAAAAATTAGCAGACATTGATCAGGGCATACAAAAGAAAGTGGAGTTTTCAGCGTTTTTGAAAAAAGTTATGAAGAGAAAAGGAAAAAAAGTCCAATATTAGTATATCCAGGACTACGTTATACTCACAAAAAATTAAATTTTGCATACAATTTTTTTTTCAAAAAATGTTTGTTTGAATACGAAAATCAATTTGCGGTTAAAAAACACAAAAAATTTTTTCGGGCCAATTTCAAAATACTTTGAAAAATTTTTTGTCGCCATGAAAGTGGAAATTGTATGACTAGTGTTTTTTTTTCAGAAAGCAAAAATAAAAAAGTCAAAGTTATCAGTTGTAGCAGCCCAAAAAACGCTTAAATGTTTTGCCAGCACTTGAATTGATTGTTCAAAGCTTTTTTTCATAATTTTATTTTGAAAATGCTAATCATACAATTTCCATATATGAAATTGTATGATTAGCTTTTCTTTATACCATTTTTTTCCATTTTTTTCATGAAGAGATACCAATTTCGATAACAAAACATCTATAAAATTTCTTTGAAATTCGACTAAACTCATTTTGCAAAAATGTATGAAATTTGTATGACTAGCATTTTTCAGTAGACTAAGTGTATGAAATTTTCTGATTAGCATTTTCGGTCTCTAGAGGTCAAACCGGGAGTAGTTAAATTTACTCATTTTCTTAATTGTTTCTTAATAGGGTTATCTCCAAAGAGTATACAGAGAACAGATCTCTTGAATTTCTGGGATCACTTGGCGATTTCCAGCGTCGCAGGTCGTTTTTGAGCGTTTCAAATAACGTCTTATTGCGAGAGTCAATTTCTAGTTTGATTCTTTGTTTACTGTTTCTAATAAACACTGTTTTTGGTGGTGCGCAGTTTTTCACACATTGTATTAAACTTTGTAAGACCTTGGAACATTTTTCCTTTTTTTGCTTATCCATGAAAAAAATCTTCAATTAGTTTTCATTTAAATTGTGAGTTGGGACTGTGAGTAATTTCAGATAGGTTGCACCGTCTGCTCGCCACGCTATCTTATTTTCGGCCGGATAGATTCGTGCAACTTCTTAGTCTAATACCGATCTTAATCTTACTCTTTTATCTCTTAGTCTCAATAGATCTAGAGTATACTGGTTTTGTTACAAATCGGTCTCTTGGAAAAGGCAACTAAGTTGTTAGTTAAATTCAATGAGCTCTGGTGCTGAAATTACAAGTAATTTCAGCACTTACAAATAAATGGGTTGTTAGTTAGATGGAGTGTGATTGGTTAGTCTTTAATATCTTATGAGGATAAAAAATCTAATTTATAACCAATAATAATAAATAGTTTGGATCAGGTTCCACCCATCCGGGGTTTACAGAGTTTTTGTTGCTTCTACTTCTTTCTGTAATGGAGGATGGATGATGATCGTTTGTATTTTGCGAGCAACATTTCTATTCCGTCCTTGGAGGTATGAACTCTAGGAAGCTGGAATCGTGGAGGTTGTTTTTTCATTCACCGATGACTGAGACCGTCAACAAAATCAATCTGATTTCGAAATGGTTTGTTCTGTTCGTCTGTTCTTGATCGGTGTGGAGAACTGGGTTTCGATCTGAATTGGGAATGGCGTGAAGCTCGAGTTTGGAGGGAATGCCCTGTAGCTCGGATCTGTACGTATACTTGAACATCGAGGTGGCCTTTGGTCTGTTTCAATGAAGTCCTTTGCTTCGGAGTCAAGTCGTACTTCAAATCCTTTGAGTTGTGGTTGTGAGCGGCATATCGGTTGTGTTCAGCCATTCTATGGGTTATGTTTGATGAGGTCGTCTTAGCTGCTCGATGCTGGTCTTCGTGATTGAGTATGATCTATATTACTGCAATATCCATTTACATAAATAAATGTTTTGTTAGTTCATCTTTTTAGTTATGATTTTTTATTAGTTTTTATCGCAAAAGCTTTTATTTTTAGTTCAGTTATTTTAAAAGTTATTCACACTTGAGTACCTCTTATCAAAAATAAGGAGTATGTCCTAAAGCGTGTGTTCTAGCACGGTGGGCGAGGCCGGCTATTAGGCATGCTCAGGACGTCGGCCTCTTTTAGTGGGATAGGCCAGGAGTGAGGGTATGATTTCATGCTGGTTTTTTGTGGGGTCCTGTTTTGTGTTAACCTTTTATGTCGAGTTTGTTACTGGTTTTTTCCTTTTGTTGTTTAGGTTGTGTCCTTTTCTCAGAAATCAAAATGTTTGGTTTGGGTTTGTCTTTCGACTTTTTGGTGTTTTATAATTTCGTTTTTTTTTAACTTATCAATAGTCTTCAAAAGAATAGATTATCGGTTCTTTAAGCTGGTTTGATCCGGTCTGGGTACCGTGGGTTTTCTTTTCTAAGTCATGCTGTTAGTTTGTGGTTTTTGGTGTTTAGTAAGCTGCGTTCATTAGTTTGGATTATTATATAATTCCATTCCCACCGGGTTAAAAGAAAGTTTGTAACTTGTTATTACTAGTTTGAGTTGTTATTTGTGAAAATTAAAACTTGAAATCATTATTTTAAACAATTCGTCGTGGGCGAGCTGTGCGATTGTGGATAGATTTTGTGTGCGAGTGAATTGATTCTTGAAAAATTTAGTACTGCTGGCATTTATATAGATTTACTGCTGAAAATTTCAAATTTACTGCTTTGTGGGGATTGAAATTTATAACTTAATTTTCAGTGTGTTTAGATTTACTACCTCGTGGAAAAAATTTATAGATTAAGTACTACTCTGGAGAAGACATTTTACTGCATCATTTATTGCGTTTTGTTAATAAGAGTTTATACTTTATAAAAGAGTTTGCAACTTTTTATTTTTGTTTTCTGTTTGTAGATAGGTGATCTAAAGACTACAGAAAAAACACTTAATAAGAAATGGTTAGTTTGTCTTGAATTTATTAGTGTTAAATTATTCAATTCATTTTTAACTAGTCATCGGGGAAGAAGCAATGAGGGAAGCTATCGTGTATTGAATCTGATTTGGTTAGTAATTTTGCTAATATGCGAATGATGTTTTCAGTTTCAAGCAAAGGCCAAAGCAATTCAAGTGCTTTGATGGTGTTTAGCTCTTCAGTGCCAATGGAAAACTCGTGATTGGTGTGCTGGATGAGGTTAAAAGGCCTGTGATTATTTTAAGTAATGTGAATGAATTCTAAAATTGGGATTTCTATTGGTTGGATATATTCATGCGGGACAATGAGGGATCGGGATTCTTCTACATTATAGGTTTTGGTGAGTAGACAAAATATGTAAATTTGGGTTATTGGGTCGTGATTTCTGAGGATGCCTTGAAAGTTAGTATTTTTTATGCAGTAGGTGAAATTTAGAAAAAATGTTGATATGTAATTAGAATTAATAAACTGAAATCGATGGTGGGTTTGTCGTGATGATGTGTGCAATTTAAAGTGATTTTGAATGAATCTATAATAAGTGTAAGTATGTGTTTGTTTAGTTCTCAACATGATGTGTGAAGAGTGCAGATCTCGTTCTTTAGGAGTGAAGAAATGAAAGGTTAGTGAAATAGTTTTAAATTTATCGTAAAATTATTCGTAAGCTTGGATGTCGCTTAGTGTTTCGGAAATGATGTGGTCATTTTATTCATCCATTGTGCTCAGTGTAAAGATGTAGGGTGTTCGTATGAAAATTTTTTCGATTAGTTACTGGTTAGCGAACTTATCTTCGTCGCGTAATTGATCTTGGTTAGGTCTGATGATATTGTGGTCGTATAATAGAGTATTCATTTGCTGTAATAGAGTATTCATTTGCTCGGGGTGCGGTGAAAATTTTTAATAATTTTTCTTTATCTTACATGCGTCAATTGTCTAGGTGTTAGTGCTGTAGTTGGTCTAAAAATTTCATTTTTGCTTTGTTCTATTTCTTGAGGTGTGTTAATCAATGGTATACAAAGTGGGTTTGAGAAAAAGTAAAATGATGTCCAGTGAAGTGTGGGAATTAGTACATGCTCATCGACATAGTGTGGTTGTTCAGTGTGAGGGTTGGAGTGACTAATGGTATATTGAGGAAAGAGGGGTAAAGAAATTTGGATGAATTGGGGAGTATTAGTGTGATCAGGGTGATTTACATAATCGCGAGCTGTTCCGGGTTTAGAGGGGAACGGGTGATTAGGAA